TTCGCCGCAGCCCGCTCCAGGCGCGGGATGCTGCGCTGGATTCGCTCCAGGATAACGTGACATTTATGCATCGCGCTGGTTCATGACCAGCTCCGAAGCACAGGATTTTCCAGCTGGGGCTTCCCGAAGCTCTCAGTCCTCACAGCACCACCTGGAGATTTCCCTTTGCCAAGAAAATAGGAGCCTCTGATTTGGAAGTGCTCGTTTGCCCACGTGTCCCCTCTCCGGAATCCATCACCTCTCCAGCATCCATCATTTTGCCCGCGCCAATCACCTTGCCCACCTTGCCCATCCCAGCAACAACCCCCGAGGGACCACAACACCTCCCACCGTGCCAGATGTTCAGGCAGACATTCATTTATTTAGGCAGATATTAATTTATCCGAGTCCAATAACGAAACGTTTGTGCGATTCTGCTGCCCCCTACAGAATGAGGGATGGGAGGATCAGGGAGCAAATGCTCCTAACACGGATATTTTTGTTTTCTTCTCTCTTCACATATTCACAGCGTCTGTATGACTCCAGTATTCCCCAGTTGGAAAATGGAGTGTCTTTCTAAACAAGTGGTCCCTCAAACACTACTCCCGGGGTGGCAATCTTCTTTAGACACCTTCTTTCCTTTTAGAAAGAGAATCTATTTTAAATGCTGGTAGCATATCTATATGCATATACATATTCCTGTTCAGCAGAAACAGCTGAATATGTTGGCTCTTTGACTGAGCCTTTCTGGTGAAGTCTTGTTTGCAAATGAGGTAAGATTTGTATCTAAAGCCCAGTAATTTGTATTTCATATCAAACCTGGAAAGTGAGTAGAACTACAATAAAATTGCGTGTTACCTTGTGATGCTTCTCCACTGGCGTAATGCTGCAGCACAACATAACCTTTGCCTTCCCCCTGAACTCTCACTTAGGCATACAGAACATTGACAGAAGAGCTGGTAGAGAATGCTTTACTGCTCCCAGGAGTTCCTGCTGCTGACTTTGGCACTCCCCAGCAGTATCACAACACGTTTGAAAGCAGAAATCAAAGAGGAACCCGGCAACAGCATCAAAACAGCACAGAAGGACATCCCATAGTGGGGAATGCTTAAGCAGCGGTGGTGGGCTGAGAGCTGTTGTGTCAGGAATGAAACACAGCATGTTGCAGTTGAGGAGGAAAAAAAAAGAAAGATCAACACACCTGTGAGCTGTGTTGTTACACTTTAAAAGAAAAAATCGGTTTTATGCTCTAGGCTTCTCTGAGATTCAAGGTCAGATCCTGATTTAAAACCTGAGAATCAGTGAAGATTTTATGCTTAGTAAGCTAGGAGTGTATTTTGTTCTAAGACTAAAATTCTGAATGCAGAAAATTTACTTGTGCTTGTGTATTTCTATATGCCCTGGTTCTTTTCTAGTGAAGAATTTTCTCTGTAACAGATCAGCGTATGAAAAAAGGTCAATCCACTGCAGTCAGGTTTCTGACATGCTATGCCTGATCTATTTTTAAGAATACTGCCCAGAAAGCTAAGTGCAGGAATGGTTTCTAGGTTGCATCCTTAGGAAATTCTAGAGTTTGAATCAAACAGCACAGATTCTAAATACTCAGCTGTATTTTTAAAATGTTGGCAGAATTCACTGGATGTAAACAGAGAACTCTAGGGTGCTAAAGGAACCCTGCCCCAATTTCTTGAATTTAGAGCTTTTAAATCACCTTTAAGTTCCAGCAAAAGTTATTTTTGAAAATAATCTTTAAATGGGGCATTTGCAATGAGAGAAAAAATCCCAGGAAAAGTAGAGATTAAAAAGTTGAATATCAGGTTATTGATTTAAGGGATTTCATATCTTCTTGCTGGTGCTTTAAATGAGAATATGATATGCTCATTCCTCAAGGACCCTTTATCAAATACACTGTCAGAGATACATTAGAATGTCTGTTCTTGTAAACAACTTGTAATTAAAAATGAGAAGACAAAAGTTAGAGATGAGTCTCAGATCAAATATTGGTCATATTTTCCTTAAATTTGTAGATTAGTTTTTCTCATCCACTAAACAGACCTTTGCAATAATACACATAGCATGATTAAATGTCCTGAAAGAGGACACTATGCATGCCTCAACAGAAGTTAATTCCTAGTGAAATTTACTGAATGCTATTTTCCTGTTTACAAAAGCAGCAGAGGTTAGTAAACCCTCAGGATCAAACACAGAAAACACATCATTTGGATGAAAGTGACTTGCAGATGTGGAATAGATCCAAACTAAATTGCAGCTCTGTTACGTACCTTTGACTTCCCTCATGTCAGATTGAACTTAACATCACCTTTACAAATACTTCTTGCATAGTTTTGCAAAAGTGAATTCTGCATATATTTTTTTTTTTTTTTCTGTGTAGAAGAACCTTGCATCTCTCAAACCATGGAAATATTACATTTGCTCAGATGCTTTCTGAATCCGCTGTTCCCAGACCTGTCTTTGGCAAATTCCATAATGACCCAGGGAGGGGGAGACCTTTTGGGGGAACACCACAATTTCCCTCAGGGTACACAGTTTGGCTCTCCCTGAGCACAGTGCTACCGTGCCAACCTGTGTGCCTTGGTTTCCTTTTCACACAAACTACAGTGAAGGTAAAGGAGTGCTTGTGTGTGCCTGTGTGGGATGTGGGCACCTGGTACAATTCCAGCATCTGGGCTGATGGCCAAAGCTTGTCCTTCTTTGCAGTCTGTGAGCTGCACAATACAGAACTGGAGTTTGCAGCATTTTTTCTCTTAGCAATGATAAGGATTTAGAGTCTTCCCAGTTAGTTTGTGTACTCCTAGGAATGGGAAAGTTTCCAAGTAAAAAATTAACAGCAAACAACCTAATATCAAAATGAGAAACACAAAAATAAGTTCAAAACTACATGTGGTATGTGTCATGCCTCACTATTTCTAGGCTCTTTTTGACCACCTTTTCACCATACTTAATAAGTGGTTTTGCAGGGTGTAGAGTCTTTTCCCAAGTGCCCTGCTACTTTACATCTGATTTATTTTATCCTATAAACAATTGGAACAATTGCCGTAAACAATTCCAATTGTTTGTCCTATAAACAACTGGAACAACTTAATCACATGAAAGCAATTTTTATTTTTAGTTACTTTATGTACCTTGTATTTAACATGTAAAATCACAAGCCCTTTTATTTTTGTCTTTAACACACCCCTAAGTGAATGTTTCCAGTTATTTTGCCTTTTGGACTTGCTGCAGAGATGAAAAAAATCTGTATTCATGAGCTTACTCCATATGAACTAAGAACCAGCTCCAATTAATATATTCAGAGTACCTTATCTTCACCTGCACTGAAATTCTTTTCCCCATCATTTAGGAAAAGGATCTAAGTTAAGCACATGTTTAAGTTGTTGTCTGACTTGATCTGCATGGCTTCTCCCACTGAAAAGAATAGAACACTTGATGGTAGCAAAGAGAAACACATGCTTCCATTTTTGCAGTCTAAGATTAATTACCAAGTTATGCACCAAGGTATTATTTAGTTAAAATTTTTTATGCCTGGTGCTATGCAAAACAGTCTGAATTTGAAGGAATGTAATTGTCAAAAAAAAAAAAAAAGGGCAACAATACATCTCAAAAGAGTATGAATCTTTGTGAAAGAATCACATTTTTGTTGATGATGAAAACTCAAGACTCTATAAAGTAGTTTATTTGTCCGAAAGAGGGAGATAGATTACCTGAGAAAAACACCTGTTTTCTTAGTTCTGATTTTTTGCTTTTCCAAAATGTAAGTCCAATTGTCTTTCCTATTGCTCATCTTACTGGAGGTTTCCAGTGTGGATTTTTTTTTTTTTTTTTTTTTTTTTTTTTGTTTTTGTTTTTTTTTTTTTTTTTTTTTTTTTTTTTTTTTTTTTTTTTTACTTTTTTCTAGATACTGGTTTCATCTAGCTATTCACCAGCTGTGTCTGTCTACTTTGATCCATTTCTCAGCAGCCCTCGGCAAAACCAGATGTGGCTGCTTTCCTGATGATGGGTACAGTCTGCCTATCCTGGAATATCAACAGCCAATTTTTAATTTAGGAAGTAACTGCCACATTAAGGCCATTATGCACAAAATGCTCCCCTGCTTCTCTTGTGCTTTGGCTTAGTTTTTGTTCGGTTTTTTTGTTTGTTTGTTTTTTTAAGGTTTCTACTAATTTTCAATTGCTACAGGACTTTCCTTGTGTGAAGATTTTTCCTAGCACAAAAATCAGCAGTTCACCAACAACCACTGGTGTTCTACATTGATGAATTCTCACCCCGTATCAGAAGATGTGCTATGAATTACAGGAGATAGGTCTCTCTGCAAGGCAGAAACATTTTCTTTACGCTCAGGAAAGGAATTAAACACTCTGACTGCACAGCACAACTCCAAACACCCTTCTATAGGTATGCCTGTTTAGTTGAGGAACAGTCACATCCACCTTGGCACACGGAAGGGGTTCAGCATAAGCTTGGTCTTCCCAGTTACTTTGAAAAGCTGAAACTTGGCGAGTTGTTATAGTGATGGCCCCATCTGCTGATCCAGCACTCAGACAAACTCACCTCCAGTCCCACTTCCTCATGAGGAAGGGCAGCTTTCACATCTATGCCAGCCCACTGCAGACAAGGAATTGACTTAGATACTAAGGTGACAATCACAGCTGTTCCTCCTGATACTGACAGCACTATCAGCGACAGCATGGGAAGGCAACTGTTCTGCATCGTGAAGTGCTTAACAAGACGTGCTGCATCGCAAACCAGGCGATATACTTTTTTGCCTCTCAGTCCTGCCACCACTCAGAACACATCTAGCTGTTTTGAGGTTTCTTAGGCTCATTGCCAATTTTAAAGTACTCATAAAGACTTTATCCTTGCGATAGTACTGATTTTAGTCTAAATAGTCATTTTCCGTTTCCCAATGGGACTGCAGGGAACTTCAGCAGAGCCGCGAAGCCTCCACTCTGCCAAAAAGGGTCTGGTTTAAGCAATGAAACACCTGCGCAAATACATCCAAAATGATTTTTCACTCTTTATGGAAACTTATACATGTAAATAGTAAAGAAACACATGGATAGCTTCAGGGATGACTTCCAACATGAGAGAGAAACAGGGAGGTATTTCTCTGCAGGATCTATCCTTCCCACAGTTCACATAACCAGTGTTCTATCCTAACGCAGCCCCGAGTACCCAGCGCTGCCCACTCCGGTTGTCTCTGAAAGGATGCGTGATCCCAGACAACAGGCCTGGAGATCTGCACTCCACATGCACCTACTGCAGTCACAACCTGTGCAGCTTTTTGGCAGAACATCTTCACAACATGCTCAGGAGGACCACAGTATCCTTTCCATTCTTCAGCAGAGACTCACAAAGCACACTCCCTTCTGCAGTCTCTTGCCTCAACCCCATTAATGCCACTGAAGTCTGTGGATCCCTGCAGCTGCCAGGAGGCTTTTGGCTGTGTGGCTGTTGGCTGCTAAGTAGATATACATTTGTCCTTTCTTAATGACCATACAGCCACACTTCAAGCTTCCTGACTCAAAGCAGGAGAATATTTCTGAGGGAAACTGGGGTATAACAGATCGCCACGCCTCACTTGCAGTGAAATCTTCCCAGCTAATTCTAAATGTTTTATAAACATGTTTAAAGATGAAACGTATTTAAATAGTCATGACATACATACTGTAAAGTATAGATACTGCCAAGTCTTCCTGTATTTCAGATGGGAAGAAAACTTTTAAGGTATTTTTAAAGTCCTTGCTTTTCATTTCAATATTTCCAACTTTCAATTGAACCAATTACCTATAGCTCCTCCAGCATTAGTTTTTCAGACACCAATAAAATATTAACATTTTTTAAAGAGTTAATTTTCCCCATACTAAAACACAACAGAAATAAACATCTTACTACAGAAGTATGAAAAACAAAAAAGAAAAGAAAGGTTTATTTTCAGAAATACAAAACACCTATTCTCTCATTTCTCCATCTTCTTCCTCTTCTTCCACACCTCTGATGTACAAAACATTATTGCACCTGTAAATAGAACAAAGAGTTTCCTTAGCTATAAACATTATCATTTTCCCCACATAAAACAAGCTTTAAACATTTTTCTGCTTGAATGTAGCCTGGCAACAGCCAAATTCTACAGAACAAAAAGCTGCTGTTGTCCTTGTACACCTTTTTCACACAGTACATCAAACTGTGCAACTTCATGAATGTAATAAATGTTTGACAATGCTGTACAAAAAAATTTTTACTTTAGGGTGAACAGTTACAGTCAAGTTTAACTTCCAAGCATGCAAAGTGTTTCCAGCTACAGTGCATTAGTTTACAATGCCAAAGGATTCCCAAATATATAATACTGTGGAAAACAAAAGTATTTTGTTACCACAAAGGAGACAGTAAATACTTATCTAGATATTGCAAAAATCATTTTTCCTCCTCTCAGAAGGGACTTTGATATAGAAGTCACATTCATAGCCTTCCTATAATCTTAATTAGACAAGAAACACAACATCCACCAGTATAAGCTTTAATGCAAGTGGTGAGGCAATTTAGAGCCTTCCTCCACCATAAATAAATATCCCAATTACCTTATCAAAACTTCACCCAGGTGTCCAGACAACGCACCGTCTATGTACTCCTCTGTGTTTGCAAGCTTGAAAGGAAAATGAGGAAAAAATCAGAAAGACAGCAATAAAAGCGGCTCCGCAAAGCACACGACGGCTCTGCCCCAGCCCAGGGCTCGGCCCCAGCTCCCGGGGGTGGCCGAGCGGCCCCGGTCCCGCTCTGCACCGCGTCCCCACCGCCCCCGGCCCGGCACGCAGCGCCTGCGGCGGGGAAGGTCCTTCCTTAGGCATCACCTCCTTGAGAGCCCCGTCAGGGCAGAGACACCTCCCACTGCCCCAGGCTGCCCAGAGCACACCTCCCACTGCCCCAGGCTGCCCAGAGCCCCATCCAGCCTGGCCTTGCACGCTCCCAGGGATGCGGCACCCACCATTTCTTCCTCCACAACGCCGGGGGCCGGCACCGCCCCGGCACGCCCCCGGCCCCTCACCTGCATGTTCATGTAGCCGTCCACGGAGACGAGGTAGCCCTTGTACTCCATCCCCCACTTCAGCTTCACCATCACCGGTTTCCCCGTCAGCCCGTTCAGGAACGGCTTGGGGTTGAGGGGCAGGCTCTGGCGGGGGAAGCACACGGTCAGCGCCGCCCGCCTCCCGCTCCGCCTCGCCCGGCCGCCTGGGGCCCGTAACGGAGCGGCTCCCGCCCCTCAGCGCCCGGCTCCCGCCCCTCCCGGCTCCCGGCCCGCCCGGCCCGGCTCCCGCCGCTCCCGGCTGCCGCTCACCATGGCGGGAGAAGCGCGGGCCCGGCGGGACCGCTCGTGCGCGCCGCGGGACAAGGGGCGGCGCTGGGAACGGCTCCGCTTCCCGTTCCGGGGGCGCCGCTCTCACCCCCGGCCTCCCACCGCGCCGCGCTCCCATAGGCTGCCGGGCCCCGACGCGCCGAGCCTCAGGCGCGGCCGCCCATTGGCTCGCCGGTGCCGCGGGCCTGTCTCATTGGCTGCCACTTCCCCCTCCCACCCCCCGTGCTAACCAATCGCTGTTGCCGCCAGTCGCGCCGCGGTGGCGCGGCCGTGCGCGGCGCGGGGGGTGAGCTCGCGCCCCGTGCGCGTCCCCGCGCGCTGTGCCCGTGCGCGTGCCCGCGGTGCCCCGCGCGGTCCCGTCCCGTGAGGCGGCGGCGCGCGGCCGCGCCCATCCGTCCGCGAAAAGAAACCCGCGGAGTGGTTCCACACGCAAGGATAGGAAATCTCAGAGGTCAGCGGGCACATTAAGTGCGAATTCCCCGTCAGTGGCTTTTTACCCCCAGGCAAAGATGTTCTTGGGTGTAGAGAGAGTCGCGACACATCAGTGCTGACTTATGTCTTAACCTTTGACAGGCAAGTGTGCTGCACCAACGCCTGTACCGTTCACCGATTGGTCACATCCTCACTAATGTCTTCTACTGCCCGGTGGATAAATTCATCACATGCCACAATGTGCATTTCTGTTCTGCATGCAGCATATCCCCTTGATCTTCAGTGTATTATTGGGTGCTGAATGTGGGAAACACCATTCAGGAAACTTAACCTTTCAGTAACAGAGCTATTATGGGTTGTGTGCACTTCACCTTCCAGAAGTGACTCTAGTGCCCTGGTATTGAAAGCAAAACCATTCTTGCCTCCTCAAATCTGCACATTTAAAGCTGTTGATGCAAAAAGCCATCTTCTCCAGGTCCAGACTGTCCTTACACACCGCGAACGTGTAGGAGTGAAACGGATCCAATTGTAGTTCCTGTTCACTAGCAAATATCACAAGTGCAGTTACAGAATCAGAATTGTTAGGGCTGGAAGGGACCTCTGAAGACCATCCAGTCAACCCTCCTGCCAAAGCAGGGTCACCTGCAGCAGCTGACATAGGAACATGTCCAAGTGGGTTTGGAATTTCTCCAGAAAGGGAAACTCTGCAACCTCCCTGGGCAGCATCTTCCAGTGCTCTGCCACTTCCAACGTGAAGAAATTCTTCCTCATGTTGAGATGAAACTTCTTGTGACTATATCTAGATGCACATTTGCACAACCATTAGAAATAAGTGTGATTTTATTTTAGGGTGTAGTGGATGGACAGCAGAAACAAGACCAAAATATGCTAATTTTCTTTCTGGTAGCAGGGCTCATTATGGTCCAGCTGAAAGAATAACTAACTTACTTATAAGATTTTTTTTGTAAGGAAGTCTGTGTTTAGACTATGAAGCAAAAATATGAACACAATGGGAAATGGTATATATAAAAATTTTTTCATGCTATTTGCAGTACAGAATAGCTGATTTCACATGATGCCGTGTATAATGTTGCAGAATTCAATGAGCTTAGACCAAGTGTCTTGAATAAAATCATACTGTAAGAGCAATTTTTGCACTGTTCTGACAAGGATAAACATGTATGCCTGTGAATGGCAATATAAAAGGTTTGGTATGTTATCTGTAAATAGCACTAGTTATTTTTACATATGAAACCAATTTTGACCACAATGTCTCCTATTCATGTTGGGAAAACTTTTTGTGTACCAAGAAATAGGAGCATTTAGATTTCTCTTTAAATACACACTGCTAATCAGGTGAGTAAATATTCCAGCCCTGTTGTTACAAAAAACAAGCATTTCCCAGGGTCATTCGTCTCAGTGTAGAAGTCAAAGACAGAGAGTGCTTGACTACTACTTTCACAATTGGTCCATGAGTTCACACATCAGTAATTCATCAGCTGGAGACTGGGTCTGCGGCAATTTTGGGCAGGGGTAGGGTAAAAAGGAGTACTGAAAGCACAGAATGCATTACTACATCTGGTGTAGTTAACTAAGTCTGTTAATCAGGAAACAAAATAGCTGATGTTTTTCTTTGGCCCTTGTGAGGAATTTGCTGTTTACCTTGTTGACTGAATCATTCTGACTCAGTCTTCTAACGCTGATCTTTGGACCTTCAGCACAGGGGTGAAGTTCACCTTTTGTCCTCTTTGTATTTCCCTTGTAATAGGGGAAGTAATAATTTGCATTCTTTTCTGCCTCTGGTCAGGGTATTTAGGCTGTTGCTCAACAGGAAATGAACAGGAAAGAGTTGTTGTAATAGATTAATCCAAGCCTGAGCTCCTGGGTGGATGGATAGGATTTTCTCTTACAGCTCAGGAGGGGGAATTTAGCACAAATGCCTACACTCTGTTCCTAAGGAAACACATCAAGCAGCTGGACATTCAAGGGCAGCAGCATTTCTGGTGGAGAGGTGGTTACATGGCGTTGTCTGTGTTGGTGCAATTGCTCCCTGACATCACTAATGCACTGTGTTGCTATAAAATCAGGCTGAGAGGGCCCATGTACCATCACACTGCTGAGAGAAACCTCAGCAGCCCAGAACGCCTTTCTGATTCAGCTGAGTTTGCTGGAGAAGAACTCCCTGCAGTGACCTGTTTCTGCCTGCCATAAACACATTATTAAGGAAACTTTCAGAGCTGCCTCATGTTCCAATTTCTAGTGTGAACATTTAGTGACCATCCCATGCCTTTTCCTAGTGATATGCCAGTGTCAGTGGGGGTTTCCTCCACTGTATTCTTATTCCACATCAGGTGAACTACTTCCGATACCACGCAATCATGTCCACCAGAGCAATAAGAGCTTCAGCTTTGCCATCACCATGTCATGAGCACCAGCTGCAGTCAAAGAACTTAAAGCAGCCATGAAAGTGCAGCCATGAATTGCAGGTGGGCAGAGCGGAGTTAACAAAATGGAAACTCCATCAGAAGTGCTGAAGACAGCACCTTCAAAGGACAGGTTTTCATTAAAAAGGATACAGTGTGGTAGCATGGAATTAGCCCTGCTATGTGGTGTAGGAACTTCTGCCTCTGTTGGGTTCATTACTGACAAAGCTGTGTAAAAACCTGTTCTCTCCACATACAACCTGTCCCAGGTAAAGACATACCACCTTCCTTCCTCCCTCTTGCCATACTCCCAGGCCAAGTCTGGTCCTTGAACTGTTAGGTGAAGTGATACCTCAGTCCAAGGTTGGCAGTGGTTAAGTAGGCTTATGCAAAGCAGTAGCCAATTCCTGACAAGCTCTCTTTTCTAACTTCTTGGGAATGCAGTGGTTATGACTCTTGTGCACCTAGGAGGATTTTGAAGCTCTGCGCACCCTTGGGGAATTTAGCTGTTGTAGCAATACTGTTAAAATATGAAGAGGACCTAAGACTCAGGCCGAGCCTTGACATGAAGAACATCTATTTTTCCTTCAGGAATAGACAAAATGGAAGATTTTCCATTAGATATCCTACTGGAATGAAAAATCAGATCTTGCCCACAGTTTGTCTGTAGAGACTATCTTGTCTAAAAAACCTTTTTCAATAAGTAACACAAGATTTTCTCTATGTACAGAAAATCTGTATAATTTATCAGCTCTTGGTGACTTGGGAACTGCTGTAGCAGTATTCTGTGAACTGCCAACAGCCCTCATGTGAGGTATAGTCCTGACTTTATGGGGCTTTGCCACAGTAAAATAGTTTTGCTTCAAGTAGTATTTTTTCAGAAATGTCTTCCAGTAAAACACCTTTCCTCTCTGCTGATTGTCATTTTAATTACACCATCTTTGATCAAATCTCCATGTGAGGCCATAACCATCCACCACAGACCTTCACCACCGATTGTGACTGGGAGCCGGGAGATAGTGAATTCAGACTTAAGAAGAACAGGGGGCTGTAAATTCTCTCTGAGATTCTCATCAACAGAAGCAAAGCCACACTGTTCCACAAGTGTGGATATACAGTGAATCCAAGGGTGGATCCAAGTAATAGGAGGCACAAAACTGGTTAGCCTGTTTCAGGCTTCATCCAAGCAACATGCCTTTTTTCACATGCTGACAGACTTTCATGTCAGTGTAAGACTGTAGCTCAGAACATATGCTCAGTCTTGCTGAACAACACTTGGAAACAGCCAAAGAGAAGAACACAGGGGAGCCACAAAAACCAGGTGATTTTCCATTGGCCCTGAATGCCTGGCAGTGGCTAGCAACAGTAATGTGAGGGAACACAAACAAAATGCAAAAGTCTGTTTGGGATGGACTTTCCCAGTAAGCAGGAGACCACGCTGTGAACAGCTCCCAGGGCAGGAGGTAGAGGTGAGCCTGGGAAGATAGAAATGAAGGGTTTCTTCTTGGGTAGAGGATTTATATGCAGTTTCAGATCAGTACAATGTCTTTTATCTCCAGTGATGTCAGTATAAAATGAGACTGAGGGTGGAGGTGGGGGGCAGGTATGTGCTAGCAAAAGCCCAGATCTTTTGTCCATACCATCAAAGATCTGGCAGTGACTCTTCTGTGAACCTGTCACAAGGCCGGGCTGTGCCAACAAGAAGGGGCGTGGGATGCATATTGTACAGAAATTATGGGCACATTAAAGTCTCCTTTTATCCATATTGTAAACCTTTATTTTTCTGAGCAATAGTGCTCATGCAAATTATGCAGCTACACTAAAGAGAGGCCCTTTAAGAATGTGTCTCTGAAAACACAGTCTCCTTTGCCAAGAAATAATGGGACTTCCTTAATTATCAGATGTTATCTTCTGGTTTAGCAAACTTTCGTTGCTTTATGTGCAGTTTCTTCTTTTATGCTTTGACATTAATGAATTGGAATTGAAATTATGTACTGAGGAAAACAAAGTCATCTGTACAAATAACAAAATGGTGTACTTGTGTGTGTGTGTCAAAAAGAAGGAGATCAAGTATTGTGCACAAGGAGTTTGGAAACTGCTTTCACAAAAACATCTTAATAGATATTAATAACTGGCTCCAAATCACAGAAGTTGTTTAAGGGTTGGTGTTTTGAGAAATCTATCTGATCAGAGCTCAGAAAGTCTGGCTGGTGTTGGAGGCTCTCTGTGTAAGGTAGCAAGTTCTGCCATATCAGAGGACCTCATCTGCTGCCATTTT